CACAGACTGGCAACATCAGCCGGGGAAAGAGGTTTGGAATTGAGATTTCCCAGAAAGTGACACAGCACCACTAAGGAAACTGGTCAGCAGCCTCAGCCTGGCACACTCTGCAGCCAGAAGTGGATTTGTTTCGCTCCCAGCTTTTCTTGAAAATCTGAGAGTCAAGGATGAGCAGGAATATGAAATAAAGGAAGGAGATCAAGCTGAGGAAGGCTGGCCAAGGACCAGCTCCAAGGGAGAGCTGGGCACGGCTGCATCCAGCTGGACAGGAACCAGAACTGGTGCAGCAGGGTGGGAAAGCAGCTGGGAAAACCAGGGGCATCTGCACTGGGATCAGCTGCTCTGGGCAACCTCGAAAGAACACAGAGCTGTGGGGTGGGGCAGCACAGGGAGGGGGATTTAGGTGGGATCTTGGGAAGGAATTGTTCCCTGGGAGGGTGCCCAGAGCAGCTGGGGCTGCCCTGGATCCCTGGCAGTGCCCAAGGCCAGGCTGGACAGGGCTTGGAGCACCTGGGACAGTGGGAGATGTCCCTGCCACGGCAGGGTGGCACTGGATGAGGTCTGAAGTTCTTCCAACCCAAATCATTCAGGGATTCTGTGATCCTGTTGGATCAGAGGCCCCTGAGCACCCAGCACTGCAGAGCTGCACCTCTGGAAAAACATCCTGTAAGCTCAGCTCAGATTTTAGCCAGGGACAGAAGCAAGAGCTGCACAAAGCCTCCTGCTCAAGCTGAACCAAACTCACAGCAGGCCCAGGGGCAGGAGAGCAGCCCAGGGCCAAGGCCCCCTCTCAAAGCTGTGTGACACTGACAGAACTGCCCGGGGACACCGTGTGGGGCTCAGTGCCCTCACACCCCCTGGGACAACCAACAGGCCTTTAATTCATGCACAGCCTGCAGTCTGATGAGCAGCACTGAGCATTTCCAAAGCATTACCAGAGCACCTCTGTTGTGACCAGCTCCTGCACACAACTGCATTGGTGCTGATGATCTCAGGATGACAGGCTGCCCTGACACATCCTTCAGCCCCTGCCCTGATTAACACAGCGTTAATCAGCTGATGAATTCCTGTCAGACAAACCCAATTACAGGTTGGGGTCCCACAGGAGAGCTACAAACACGGTATGACTGAAAGGTTACTGTGCAAATGCTAGACCCACTTAAAATAATGGAAACCAGGCAGGAAAAGAAAATATTTACAGTGAGAGCTTCACTGTGGCTGCAAAAGCAAAGCAAATCCTGTCATTAGACAGGGATGGGCATTTCTTGCTTTTAAATGGATTTGATTTGCACACAAACTGTTGAGAAATCTGCCCTGCATCCCACAGGGTGACTGTGGCAATGGGCAGCACGACAGCCTGGCACGGGCTGGGGACAGGAGCAGGCACAGGGATGGGGATGGATGGGGGAAAAGAGGGATCCAGGCTTGAGGGGAGCCCTCCAGCAGCCCCCAGCCCCCATTTGGGGCAGGGATTCAGGAGCAGACTGTCTGCACCACAGGGTGGTTGTGCAATGAGCACTCAGCTGCAGAGCTGGCCCTGGGCTGAACAGCTTATGCAAATCAAAATCCATAAGAGGATACAGCCCCCAAACACTGAAACAAATTAATTTCTATTTTCTAAAATCGACTATTCTTCAAGGACAGATTGAAAAAAAAATCTTCTGCAAGTCTCCCTTTGAAACAGAGCTTGAGGAGCAGAGGGAAGGGGGATGTCAGCAGCAGATCAGAATCCAACAGCCCAAGCCTGGCCCAGTGAAAACTTTCCATCATTTCCCCCTTAACCATTCCCCAGCACCTCCTTGGAAGAATTGAGGACCCTGACTGTCATCCCTAATTCCCAAATTGAGTTTTAATTCACACAAGAGGCACCACAAAGGTCCAGTCACATTGTAAAGGTTGATAATGCCTGTGGTGCTTCTGTTATCAGCTTTGCCTCTTGACATTAAAATGTATAAAATAATTTTCCAGGAGGCTCTGGGGCAGTTTTTCCAATGGCAACCACAACAATGAGAAGCTGAAATAAACCCAAAAGAGGGATAAGGGATTAAATTTAAGAATTGCACAATCAGCCTTATAGCCAATGTTCCTTAAGCTGCACAGTCAAAAATAGAAAAAAAAAAAAAAATTACCCAAGTGTGCAAGGCCTAATTTACAGGAGATGGATCCAGCTCCCGTCAGAGAGAGGATCTGCAGCATCACAGTTGCCATGACTCCCGAGGGAGCTGGCACCTATTTTAGCAGCACAGACAGGAGCTGATGTTTTTAGGGAAGCATCCTGTTATCCTGGAACACACAGTGTAGGACATGGGAGCCTGGCTAAAGAGATTTCATCACTGAACCTCAGCAGGAAGTCCTTAAAATGCCTTAAAATGAGAGCAAATCACTGCCTGCCCACCAGGGGAAAGAAACAAGAAAGATGGAGAGGGACTTGGACAAGGGATGAGGGACAGGACACAGGGAATGGCTCCCACTGCCACAGGGCAGGGATGGGTGGGAGATTGGGAATTGGGAATTCCTGGCTGGGATGGAATTCCCAGAGCAGCCGGGGCTGCCCCTGGATCCCTGGCAGTGCCCAAGGCCAGGCTGGACAGGGATCCAGGGACAGCCTGGGACAGTGGGAGGTGTCCCTGCCATGGCAGGGGTGGCACTGGGTGTTCCTTAAGGTCCCTCCCAACCCAGAGCATTCCAGGATCTGTGAGGATACCAGGTGTGGAGCAGGAGCCTCCCAGTCCTGCCTGACAATCACAGGTGAGGTGTTGGCCAAGTGTGGCAACAGCTAAAGATTCAAACCCCCTGAGCATGGCATTGTGACAGAAGAGGAGCACAAACAGGCACCTGGAGGGGACACAGCCCCTGTGACACCTGGACTTCCACAGAGATCTCCTGCATCCCTGCAGCCCTGCCCAGGGGAGTGCTGCCACCACCAGCCCTGGAAATGGTTAAAATTGTGGATGTGGCACGGGGGAATGTGGGTCAGTGGTCCTGGCAGTGCTGGGGTTAAAGGCTGGACTTCTCCAACCTGAAGAATTCCCTGATCTCTGCCATGAACAAGCACAGTCACCTGAGGGACCTCAGCACCTTCCCCTGCCTGGCTGCTGGGCTCAGCTCGGTGCCACTGGGGTGTGAATTCCCCCTCCAGGCACCTCCACCCCACTTGTGCCAACTGAGGGACTCAGCCAGGCCCTGGGGCTGTCTGCAGCTCTGCAACAGCTGGTGCAGGAAGGGCCAGCACGGATGGACATGGAGACAAAAGCCTGACTCATGGAATCTGGATTTGGGGGCAGGGGCTGCCCGGGGAGGGCTGGAGTGCCCATCCCTGGAGCTCCTGGAGGTGGCACTCAGGGCTCTGGGCTGGGGACAAGGCTGGGGTTGGGCACAGGACTCCAACCTTAATGATCTGGGGTTCTGGGATGGCAAAGCACCTTCAGCTGCTGTGGGAATACAGCACAAGAGCTCCAAAACAAGCTCAGGCCTGGAACCATGGAAGCTCCTGAGCTGGCAGGGACCCACAGGGATCATTGGTCCAACTCCTGCTCTGCACAGACATCCCAAAATCCCACCCTGGGCATCCCTGAGAGTGCTGCACAAATGCTCCTGGAGCTCTGGCAGGCTGGGAATGTTCCCATTCCCTGGGGAGCCCGGGCAGTGCCCAGCATCTTCTGGGGAAACTCAGAGCTGGGCATTCTGAGCTGCTCCTAAAAACCCCACCAAACCAACTGTTGACTCTACAAAGTGTTGAAAGGAGGAAAGCAATGGAAGGTTATCAAAGCCCTGAGTAAACTGACATCAGGACAACTTCCAGCTGCAAAACTTGTGCCAACTTACTCCCAGGCTGCAGTGCTACTCTGAGCCAGGACTCCTCCAATCCGTGCACTGTTACCTGTGCAAGATATCCAGGAGGAGCTTTTCCTCCAAAAACTCCTGGCAGACAATGGAAAGGCTTGGAAGAAATGTTGGTTTTGTCAAAGATGCTGCCTTCAGCTTTCCCTTTTGTTTTGTTGCATCATGCACCAAAGAGCATCACTTCTGCAGGCACAAGTTCATGCAGAGAACACCACTTCCACTAAAATAGAACTACTTCAGGTTATGCAACACTCATTAAAATTACAAAACCTCTCAAAAACCTGAGCAGCATGTTAAGGCACTCCGGGGCTCGGGGTCTGGTGAGTTAGTGGCTGCATCATGCAAACTGGCAGCAAGAAACTCTGCAGGAACAGCAGCAAACTTCCATGCCTGATGACAAGGCAGAAATGGAGAGCACCTGAGGGCAGGGAGAAACTCCCAGCCCATCGTGGCAGAGCGGGGTTCACAGAGGTGCCAGCTCTTTCTGAGGAAGCTTTAGAATGAGCACAAGTACAGGAATATTTGTAATTTCATCTCTAGCCACATTTCAAAATTTCTAAGAACTGGATTGAGTTCTGTGGGATGAATTCCAGCTCATTTGCTATGAGCACAGGGAGCTTGTTCCCTGGAGAACAGCCAGGGTGCCCAGCCCTGGATGCTGCCCAGCCCATCCAAAGTCTCCTAAGAGGGATAAAGTCCCAAAATTTACATCAGTCCCACCATTGTTTTGTTAGAGCTGCTTTGCAAAAGGTTTTGATTCTGGAAGGAAACACATTTTGTGGATGAAGAGGCTCAAGGAGGCTCAAGCCAAAGGAGGAGAAGGGGATGCAGTTGGTCTGAGGTGGGATAAAGCCAAACCCTGCCAACAGCAGGGACCCAGAACATTCCCTGCCCCTGGCATCCTCCATCCCTGAGCGGGGTCAGGGGGCACTGGCACACCCCAGCTCAGTGCCACCTGCACCCAGACCCTCCACACCAGCTGCACCTCAACCCCAAGGACGCCCCAAGGCAGAACTGCTGCCAGCTCTGCCCTCGGGGATGAGCACTGTGAGCCAGGCAAGCAGCCCCAGCAGCCCCTGAGAGCAGCCAGCACCCCTCATGCCACGCTGGGATGCCCAGTGGGGCCATGCCAGGGCAGACCCTGGGCACACACACACCTCTGTCCAGCCGCCGGGGCGCGGCTCTGCCCGCCAGGGCTGGCACCAGGGCTGGCACCCCTCGGGCCTTGGTGGGTCTCATGTAGCCCTTGAGCTGCTCTGCTGCCTTCACTCTCTCTTTCTTTGCCTCTTTCACCACTTTCTGCTCACGTTCTTCTTCTGTCTCTTTAGCTGGGGCTCGAGGTTCCTTCTCTTTAGTTGTGTCCTGAGGTTCCTTCTCTTTGGCTGTGTCTTGAGATTCTTTTTTAGTTATTTCTTGAGATTCCTTCTCTTTAGTTGTGTCCTGAGATTCCTTCTCTTTGGCTGTGTCCTGAGATTCTTTTTTAGTTATTTCTTGAGATTCCTTCTCTTTAGTTGTGTCCTGAGATTCCTTCTCTTTGGCTGTGTCTTGAGATTCTTTTTCTTTAGTTACTTCTCGAGATTCCTTTTGTTTAATTGTGTCCTGAGACTCCTTTTCTTTAGTTACTTCTTGAGATTCCTTCTCTTTGGTTGTGTCTTGAGATTCTCTAGTTGTATCTTGAGTTTCTCTTGCTTTATTTGTGTCCTGAGACTCCTTTTCTTTGGTTTTGGCTTGAGAATCCTTTTCCTTGGTTTTCTCTTGAGGTTTATCCCCCTCAGACTTTGACACTGGAGTGTCCTTCAGGAGAACCTCCCCAACAGGAGGAGCACCATCCTTCAGGAGAGCAGGGCCCTCCTCTGCAGGCTGGCAGGGACCTTTTTTGTTCTCTCTGGGCTGGTTTTGGGTAGTTTGGGCAGTCTCAGGCTCAGTGCCCTGCTGTTGGGGTGAGCTCTGCTCGTTCCTCGTGTCCCTGCCCTGCTCAGCCCCTCCAGCCTTGCCTGCAGGGGCTGGGGAAATGCTCCCTGTGCTGCCAGGTGTCCCTGCAGGGGCTGTGGAAATGCTCCCTGTGCTGCCAGGTGTCCCTGCAGGGGCTGGGGAAATGCTCCCTGTGCTGCCAGGTGTCCCTGCAGGGGCTGGGGACCTCCCTGTGCTGCCAGGTGTCCCTGCAGGGGCTGGGGACCTGCTCCCTGTGCTGCCAGGTGTCCCTGCAGGGGCTGGGGACCTCCCTGTGCTGCCAGGTGTCCCTGCAGGGGCTGGGGACCTCCCTGAGCCCTTCTCTGCTCTGTGTTTTGGATCTGGGGCCTCGTGAGGAAGCTCTGAGGGAGCCTTGGCAGTGTTGTGCTTTGTATCAGAGGGTTTTATTTCTTTATCATCCACCTTTGCTATGGGACAAAGGTGATTTTTGTCCTCGGGCTGGCCACCCTGGGAAGCAGCCTCTCTGCTCTCCCCACCTTTTTGGGAAACCTCTTTTCCACGTTCTTTGGGCTGCTCACGAGATCTCTGGGTCTGCATCTCCTTCTTAGCACCAAGTGCAGGCTCTTTGCTGCTTTTCTCTGCCACTGCTTCCAGAGGAGGAGGAGGAGGAAGGCCCCCAGTCCCTGCACCCCCCCCTCCCTGCTTTGGGAGGCCACAGGGAGCATCACCCCCATCCCCAGGGCCACTTGCTGGGGTCTGACACATGGATTTGAAGTCACTCCCTTTATTATTCCCAAGACTTTGAGGGCCAGTGGGAAAGTTTTTAATGTTTCTGTTTTCATCTACAAGATCTGTGTCTTCCACCCCACATTCCAGCCCAGCTCCCACGGCAGGCTGTGCTTCACTCCTGTCTGCTTTTGCCTCCAGAGGAACAGGCTGCCTGGAGGCATTTTTAGCCTTTTTACTGCTTCCATCATGGCCCCTCTTTTTAGATCTCTCAGGGACTGGGGCCAGGCTGGGATCTGACACTGCTGGATGCTCTGCAATAGGATTTTTATTCCTGCTGCAAGGACTGGCACCTCCTGCCTCAGGTTTGTCCCCGATCTCCAGGCCAGCAGCAGGGAGCAGCCCTGCTCCTGCTTTATGCTCCAGCAGAAGAGGCTGCTGTGGGTCAGGCTCCCCCTTTCTGTGCTTCTCTTCAGCACCTGTGTGTGACTTCCCTGGCTCCAGGGGCAAAGCAGGGGCTTGTACCTTGGCAGGATCAGGCAGGTGACCCAGCAGCACCTCTGGAGCCCTGGAATTCTCTTTGCTCTCCTCAGACTGAGTTTGTTGAACACGTCCCACTGCAGAGATGTCACCTGGCTGCAGCTCAGGACTGTGCTCAGCCTTTTTGCCTTTCCCATCTCTGCTTTTACCCTTGGGTTTGTCCATACCCAGTTCCCTGGTGGGACTGTGCATCCCTGCCCTGTGCTCTGGGGATTTATCTGCTTCCTTCCCTTTATTCACAGTTCCTTTAGTTTCCAAGTTTCCTTTCCCTATTTCTGGCTCTGTTTTATGGTCTGAAAGATTTGGCTGCTCAGAGAAGCTCCCAGTGCCACCCTGGGTTTTGGGCTTGCCCAGCTCCTCCTCCAGCCTCTCTCTTTGCAAACCAGACCCCTTCTCCTGAGCCAAGCTCATTTCCTTCCTGCCTCCAGCCACCTGCTCCTGCCTGCCTTCCCCCCCAGCCCCCAGGACAGCTGCCTGCCCAGAGGGGCTTTTCTCAGGCTGTTTCCTTCTGCCATCACTGCTCCTCTTCCTGGCTTTCTCTGCCAGCACTGGCACATCCGAGCTGAGCCCAGCAGCTCCAGCCTCCCTGCCTTTCCCAGCCAAACCCACCTGCTCTGTGGGGCTGATGGTGGCAGCCAGAGCAGGAGTTTTGGCTTCCTCTCTGCTCTTCTCCAGCAGCAAAGCTTGGTCTAAAGCTCCCAAATCAGCTGTTTCACCTTTCCCAGCATTTTCTTTTGGTTTCTCCGGTCCCAGCTCAATTGGCCTTTGCATTTTAGCTGCATCTTCCTGCAAGCCCCCAGCAGGGACACAGCCCTGCTCACTGCCCTCCTTCACCTTATCAGCTCCCTCAGCAAAACTCCCTGAGTCCATCTTATCCTCAAGGACAGGCTGCTGGAAAAAGCTCCTTTCCCCCTTTTTGCTCCTTCCATCACTGCCTCTTTTTTTGGGCTTGTCTGCAGGGCAGGCCTGTGCAGCCACACCTGATGGGTGTCCTCTGGCAGGAACACCCTGGCCATTTGCAGGACAAACTGCTTCCTTCCCAGCCTCATCTGTCCTCCCTCCAGCAGAGGATTTGCCTCCATCCTCTGAGAGCATCTGCTCTGAGCAGCTTTTCATCCTTTTGCCTCTCCCCTCACTGCGTTTTTTCTTGGGCCTGTCTGTGCCCTGTGCCAGGCTGGGGTCTGGCCCAGCCTGCTGCTCACAGCCAGGCCCTCCTCTCCCTTGCTTTGGGTCTGCTGCCACCCCCCTGCCCCCTGCCTCACCAGGGACACCCTGGGCCCTGCCCTGCCCAGCTGGAACCTCCCCAGGTTCTGGTGGAGCTGCAACAGGAGCTCCAGGAGCATCTCTTGGGCTCCTCACTCCTCCCCCTGACCCTCTTTCACTTTCTCCAGCAGCCTTTGGCTCTGCAGGGAGCTTGTCCCCCACGGCTACAGCCTCCAGCTGAGGCTGTTTGAGGGGTTCCCTTCCAAGCCCTTTGCTTTTCTCCCAGTTTTTCTTGGCTGCTGTTTCCAGGGAAGGCTGGACACAGTCACTGGGTGCTTCCTGCCCTGGAGATGGAGTTTTGGGCTCCTTGTTTTTATGGGACAGGGGCAGCTCTGAAGGGCTGGTCTGTAAGGGAGTTCCTGCCTTGCTCAGATTGACCTTCAGCTCGGCACCTTTTGACTCCTTGTCCTCCCTCTTCTCATTTTTCCTGGGGAAATCTCTTTCCATGGCCTTGTTGGGTCCCTTGGCTGCAGCAGGTTCCTGCACCTCCTGCTCTGAGGGAACCTCTCTGCTTTTGCCCTTAGATCCCAGCATCCAGCTGTCACCTCTCCTTCCCTCTGGCTCCATCTCCTCCCTGGGGCTGGCTTTTGGGCCCTGCAGTCCTGGGGCTGGCCCAGGGAAGGCCGTGTGCTCCTCCAGGATGTGACTCCCAGCTGTTACTTTAGCATCCTGTGGCACATCCAGAGCTCTGCTTCCTGGGGGTGTTCTGGGACACACGGCTGGGTTCTGCCACTCCACCCCAAAGGGAGCACTCCTGGCACCTCTGGAGGCTGTTCCATTCTCATCCCAGAACTCCATCCCTCTTGGCAGCTGGTTTCTCCTTTGTTTTGGTTTCTTTTTCTTTTTCTTCACCATGGCACCTTCCAAATCCCAGTTTTCCTGGGGGGGATCTCTGCAGCTCTCCACAGGCTCCGTGGGGACATTGGTGGCCTTTTTGTGAGGAGCCCTAAAGCGAGGGGATGCTCCAGCAGCACAGCCAAGCTCCAGTGTGGAACAGGGGTCTGCTCTGGGCTCAGGACTCTTCTGCTGTGGGACACCTACAGGATGCTCCTCTGGCACATCTGTGAGAGGCACTGGGGCAGGTTTTGCTCTGCCAAACCCACGGTCCCTGGATTTGGGAGCTTGCCTGACTTGTGCAGTGGGAAGACCTGGAATACAGGAAGCCTGCTCAAACATCAAGGCCACTATTTGCTTGGTAAAAGAAATCATAAATATATTCTGTGTGTGGCTGCAGCCCTCTCAAACGGGCCCTACAGGCAGATGTGCAGGATTTCCCAGCACTGGAACCACACCAGAGCCACCTCAGGAGGGCTGGGGTAGGTATTTACCCCAACACCTGTGTGATCTACCCCAAATCCATCCACCAGTGCTATTTAAACACAAGTCTGACACAGGCTCTTGCCCCACCAAAAAGCACCAGTTCTTGCAAGGACATGCCACTGCTTTTTAAAAATGCATTAAGGATCCATTTTGTCTCAGCAAGACAAGATCAGAGAGAGCCTTTTTATATCTCTAGCTGGCATCCTTCCAGAGTGGGAAAACAGAAGTTTAGTGGGAAGATGGGAAGAGAGATGGGGGCAAGAGAGCCAAGATTCCCCAGCAGCCAGGGAGGAAGCAGGGGGAGGCAGAGCCTCGGTCCCAGGGTCACCTGCTGTGTCCCTGGGGATCCCTCAGGGGGTGAGGAGAGCAGCAGTTGTTTGTCACTCAGCCCTGGCCCACAAATCCTCCTCCTCACCAAGTGTGAGCAGCACCAGCCCCTCTGGAGGCTGGGTCAGTGGAGCAGGAGAAAATCACATCTTCCTTTGGCAATTGCACAGCTCCGTTGGGAAGGAGATCCTCCCTGGGAATATCCTCGTGAGAATTAACAGTCCTTTTCAACACCAAAATAAGAGCCAGTGCTGATGGCAGAGAGAGGAGAGCTCTGCAATCCTCCAGCACAGCTGTGAGCCAGTCCCAGTGATAAAGCACCCAGAGCACAGGGATTTGGGTTTTGAGTTTCAATGTGGGGGGAAAAGAGCCTTGGAGAGGGCAGGGATCCGAGGGGAAGGGAGAGCCCAGCACCAGGAGCACTGAGAGCCACACAAAGACATTTCTGCTGGCCCAGGAGCAGAAGGTGAAGAGTTCCCAGAGGAGGTTTCCATGAGGAAATGGAATTATTTTTTATGTTAAGATTTCCATCCTACCTGTGGGCTCCTGCAGGGTTTTCCCTTCCTGAGGTTCTGCATGTTGGACGTGGTTGTGCTCAGCCTCCTCCTTCTGCGTCTCACCATTCTCAGCAGGAGCAGATTTTTCTGGAAGGTCTTTGTTGTTTTCTAGTGCTCCTTTTGCTTCAGCTGGAACATGAAAGACAGGAACAGAAAGCTTCAGGTCTCAGGAGTACAGGCAGCCTGCAGCTAAAGCCCAGCCCTTGCAAAGGGGTTACTTTTGTGTTTAACAGGAATGAGGTTTATGAGACATGGTTGGTTCATCCCCTCACAATCCCATTGCAGCAGCACTTTTGTATTTGGCACATGCCAAGGTGGGGGTAGAACACGAGGCAGGGGCTGTCTCAGGGTTTTTAAGCACAGGGTGAGGGTTTGTTTGGGTTTTTTTCCTCTTTGTAATCAACCCAATTCAGACTATCCCAGCTTCCCACTGGGAATTCAAATCCAGAACGAACTCCATGATCAGCCTGGAGTCCCTGGCTAATGCTGATCATCTTGTATTCATCTATACCTTACAATACATCCACACAGCCACCACAACATCCCTCACTCTGCATAATTACAGCCAGTCTTCATCTGTAAGGCATAATTACAAGGGAGAGCAGTTCTCTCTGTAATTAATTTTATTTCAATTTTAAATAGAAAGGGAAACGATGGCAGGCATTGGTACAACAACTGTGCAGGGGGAAGGAAAGGACAAGTTCTGTGAATGTGCCCCGTGCCAGCAGGCACTGCAAACCTGCTGGGATGCAGTTTGCAGCCTGGCCCTGGCTGCATTTCCCACCTGCTGCCTCCGGGGGCTGCTTGCTTTTCCCGGGAATTTCCTCCTCCCGGGGGCTCGGGGGAGGTTTCCTGTCCTTCACCTCCTCTGAGTGATCCACAGCAACTTCTGGGACTTTGGATTCCGCCTCCACCTTTGCTGTTGCTTCTGCGAATGGAATGTAAAGAGTAAAAATTCCTGGCTTTAAATATAGATCAGATTAAATTAGATAAAAGCACTCCCTTGCCTAATTTTTCATTTTCTGCAAGGAACTGAAGGGTTTCCTCACTTTCAAAACCTGATTTTTAGGATCTTTCCCCCTTCCTGCATTGTCTTGCACTTCCTCTTTCATTCACCTACCTGGGCCTCTCAGTCTCTACATTCTACTGGGATTTTTTTTGTTGTTGTAACTTCTCTCTTGAAATTTATCCTCATCATTACACTAAAGAGTATTAGAAGGTAAGAAAAAATACCTCACTCCAACCCCATCCACAACCAATCCACATATGCTGCCTCTGCCCATGACTATTTGCTGCATTTTAGTAATATAAATATAAAATAAAGACAATTTTGGAAAGCAGTTTTCTCTCCAGAGGGATGGTGTCCCTGGAGAAATCCACAGCAAACTGCACATGGAAAACCAAACACGCCCTTCCCAGCATTCAACACCTACAGTTATCCTAAGGAAAGGTCCCACAATTATCAACTAAGCCTTTTAGTCTCTTCAGAAACTGTTTTCAAGAACCTCTGTTTGTCAGCTCTGTGTCCTACAGGATCTGGGAGATTTCAGGGAGAGCTGAGAGTGGTGGTGACACAGAGCCAAGCACCAGCAGGGATGAGCCAGCACCTCTCCATGGCTGTCCTCAGACCACTCAGCACTGCTAAGAACCCCCAATGAAAACTTAAAAATCATTAAAAACCTCTAATTTTATGTTCTGTAAGTGAAGAATCCCCGTGATGCATTTTCTGTGTCTCCTGAGAGCAGAGCTGAGCTCTCCTCAAGCTGCTTCACCCAAAGCCAATCAATGCTGGGCTCTGTGGCCTCAGAGGCCTTTTCCAACCTGAACTGTCTGTGACTGGGATTTGGGATTTGGGCACACTCACCTGCAGGAGACTTGTCCTGCTGCAGGGCAGCCTCAGATGTCAGCAGCTCCCCAGACACAGCAATGCTGGGGGCAGCTGCAGGGCCAGGCTGAGCCTCCACCTTCCCTCCATCCACAGCAGGGACAGGCTTGGCTGGAGCTGCAGGAGCAAACCCAGAATCCAGGCCATGGTGATGGTTGACTTCTGCTGCAGGGCCAAATTCAGAGCCCATAATCTGCTGAGCTTTGTTCTCTGCTGCTGGAGCAAATCCCAAATCCAAGGTATGGTGAGGTTCTGCATCTGCTGCCGGGGCAAACCCCAAATCCATGGTCTGGTGGGACTCCACACCTGCTGCTGGAGCAAATCCCAAATCCATGTTCTGGTGACATTCCACATCTGCTGCTGGAGCAAATCCCAAATCCATGGTCTGGTGAGATTCCACACCTGCTGCTGGAGCAAACCCCAAATCCATGTTCTGGTGGGACTCCACATCTGCTGCTGGGGAAAATCCAAAATCCATGGCTTGGTGAGACTCCACACCTGCTGCTGGGGCAAATCCCAAATCCATGGCCTGGTGGGACTCCACGCCTGCTGCTGGAGCAAAGCCCAGATCCACCCCATGGTGGGATCCAGCATCTGCTGCCGGGGCGAAGCCGAGCTCTGTCCCCGGGGTGGACATGTCATTGACACCTTTGGGAAGGCTGCCTTCAGGTGCAGGAGAAAAGCCCCCATCCGTGGCCTGGAAAGGGCTGGCTGCTGCTGCTGCAGGGCTTTGGGGAGGTTTGGTGTCCCCAGCAGGGACAGCTCCAGCTTTCTCTGCGGGAAGGGACGCGGCGTCGGTGGCGGGAACAGAGGCTGCACCTGCCAGGAGCACGGGCACCACAGGTCAGGGAAAACCCCATGGGAACTCCTGACCTGCTGTTTTGTGGCTGGGGAACACCCAGGGCTGGTTCCTGGCTTTCAGCACCACCTCCTCCCCCTGTAGCAGCTCACCCAGTTGTTCCAGTCCTTATCCACCCTGGATGCACCCAGAGCTTCTCCTGCTCAGCCGCCCGTGCCCTGTGTGCACCCCTGGCTGCACTGGGGCTCCCATCTGCTCCCAGCCCGCAGCAGTTGGCATGGATTGCTTCTGTGCCAAAGCTGCCTGATGCCACCCAGCTGGCAGGGGGCCAGAGCTGCTGGATCCTCAGCCAGGAGCACATTCCAGCAGAGCCCAGCCAGGATCCACAGCCAGCAGAGCCCCAGCATGGCTGGAGCTGCAAGGCACCTTCAAGATGTCCCAGTTCCAGTCCCATCCCCTCTCCTGGCAGGGACACCTCCCACCATGCCAGGTTGCTCCATCCTGGCCTGGGACACTTCCAGGGATGGGGCAGCCACAGCTTCCCTAGGAAAGTTGGTTTTCCCTCTACTGCAGGACACAGAAAATGTGGAATCAGCTGTGTGAGCCCAGCAGGTTTTCCAAGAGCAGGAAAACACTCCAGAACCACACACTTCATTCTAAACAGGGTTTGTGCTGGTGGTGGGGTTTGGTCGGTGCTCGAGCTGGAGCTCTGGCACTCCTGACACAAAATCCTCCCACTAATCCCAAATTCACACTATTCCTTCAAACTGGCCTCGTTCATTTTTCACACAGTATCTCCCAACACTGAGCTGATAGCTCCAAACCAATATCTGTCACTTCACAGCACAATCAAACCTCTGCATTTAAGCTCCTATTTGCCTAAAATCCCCTTCAAGGAAGTTTTTCAGTCAGTTTTTGTTTAATGTTTCAGCTGTCCAGAGGCAAGCTTTTCCAAATGATCAGTGCCAGAAGCACTGGATCTCTCTTCTGCAGCTCCTCATCTCGACAGCCCCAAGCTCTGCCCACCCTCTGTGTCCTGCACTCAGTGCCCTGAACATCTCCCATCTATTGCTGATGACCAAAAAACAACATTTGTACTGATTTTTGGAGTCACATCTAAAAATATCCTCTCCAACCAGTGGAAAATGTATGAAATCTAAATTAGATACTTAAACCGAAGTCAGAAAGAAATAGAAAAACTGAAAATGTCCCTTTTAAAATGGTACTTAAGGATCCATTTAGATAAAACTAATATTTTAGTGAAGCAAACCAAAAGGATCCATCATGCACCAGCCCTCATTTGGGTTTGACTTTGCTGGGGGTTTTTTAAGTGATATCATGATCTTCTCCAAAAGAAAATGTAAAGATTGTGATTTTATACATGAATAAGACTGTAAATAGATATATTTTAAAAGCAGTACGGATGTTCCCTGGAGAATTATGGAAAAGAGTGGGATGAAGAATTAGGAAACTGGACAACAACTGGCACTATGAGTCTGTGTAGAAATATGTTAAAAATGGGTTTTTTTAAGAGAATCTTTTAAAAGGACAGGTTAAAGGTCCTTGTGAATAGATCTGGCACCTGGGGCCATGGATCAGTGGTGGGGAAGGGTTGGACCTGGTGACCTCAGAGGGCTTTTCCCCTAAACCATTCCCTCACTCTGCTGTAACCACAGCCTTAGGATTTTCCTGGAGCTAAAATGTGGAGACAGCAAAGAGCCATGGAATCAGCTCCTGGACTGGCACACAGCTGAGAAGGTTTGCTGCTTCTCCCTCACCTGCAGGCACAGCAGATCTGTTCCCACCTTGCCAGGAGAGGCAATTCCATGTTCTCCCAGCCCTGCCCACCCTCCAGGCTGCAGGAACTCACCTGCAGCTGCAGCCTTTGGTCCCTCGGGGGCTGCAGCCTCTGCTGGCAGTGCTGGGGCTGCAGCAGGAACGTTCCCAGGGGCTGCTGCTGCCGTGGGGCTCTCGGGCAGGCTCGTCCTGATGGCTTCTGTGGCTGCAGGGGGCACTGGGAACACAAGCAGCTGGAATCAGCTCCTGGAAAGGCCTGGGATCATGGAGCTGCTGGGAGTGGGGGACACCCCCAGGTGCTCCTTCAGCCACCCCGGGAGGGAATCCCCCTGAGCTCAGAGAGAATTGGCTTTGATTGCTCATTCTCAGGAAAATAATTTGTGCAGCACCCAGGAAAACTCTGGAATCCCAGGAGAAGTGGCAAAGCTGGGGAGGGTTGTGCTAAAAACCCTCCCAGTCTCACCCCCAGCTCCAGAAACACTTCCTACCCCTGAGCAGGGTGAAACTGTTATCAGCTTCTTCACAGAAATAAAGATTCCATTATGGGTCCAGTTTTGTAATGCACACAAATTCCCAATGGGATAATGCTCCAGTGGAGCTTCAAAGACTTATCTATGACCAGAACTTAAAGGTAATTAATATCCCAGGAAGGTTTGGGTGGGAAGGGACCTTAGGGATCACCCAATCCTACCCCTGCCATGGCAGGGACACCTCCCACTGTCCCAGGCTGCTCCAAGCCCTGTCCAGCCTGCCTTGGGCACTGCCAGGGATCCAGGGGCAGCCACAGCTGCTCTGGGCACCCTGTGCCAGGGCCTCCCACCCTCCAGCCAGGAATTCCTTCCCAATATCCCATCTAATCCACTCTCTTTCAGTTTAAAGCCATTCCCACTCCTCAAAGACTCATTTCCATTCTGGACTGATGTGAGCAGCAGCAGCAGTGCTGTCCCTGGCCAGCTCCCACGTGGCTCTGTCACAGCCTGGTGTCCCTTGAGGAGGCAGGCAAGGACAGGAGCTGGTTCTGCTGCTCGGGAGCTCTCTGCCAACACTTCCTGCAGATCAGCTCAGAACTGGATTTTACCTGGTGGTTCAACAAAGAAAGAGGTATCTGGTCCCTTCATGTCCTGCTGAGCTCCCATCCAGTATTCTTCAGGGACTGTGGGAAACAAACACACTGAGTCCAGCCCTGACCCCACAGGGCTTTGACTTTCCCAGGGGAAGGTCTGAGTCTGCTGGGTTTGGGGCTCATCCTCAGGGAATTTCAATTCTCTCTACGAGAGGCAGCAGAACCTCTGTTCTTCCAGGATTATTGGGAGTGAGAGCTCCCATCAGACAAGAGTTACACCCAGCACTGACCCCAGGAGCCAGAAGAGGAGTTTCTTTCCTCAAGTTCTCCTGGGCTCTGGGTAGCCCAGCCTAAGCAGGGGGGTTGGAAAAGTTCCAACCTCATCCATCCTGTGACCTCCTAATGTAGAATCCCAGCATGGTTTGGGCTGGAAGGGATCCTAAAGCCCATCTCATGGGCAGGAACACCTTCCACTAGCCCAGGCTGCTCCAAGCCCTGTCTAACCTGGCCTTGGACACTGCCAGGATCCAGGGGCACCCACAGCTGCTCTGGCTGTGCCAGGGCCTCACACCAGAACGTTCCCCTGAACCAACAGCTGTCCATGCCAAGAGGAAACTTTCCAATCTTGACTCATTTTATGTATCAACTCCCCACCAAGACTCTTTAGGACTTGTAAAGTGGGATTTCCCAGCTGCAAACCCTCCAAACCCAGCCAGTCAGAGAAAACATTTGCTTCTCACCTGCTTTTCCTGGCAGGAATTCTGTGCCTGACTCGAGGCCGATGAAGGCTGACGGGTCCAGAGCCTCTGCAGGGGAATACAGGGACCCCAGGAAAGGTTGTTCAGGTGCCATCATGGATCCATGTGGAGCTAAGGAAATAACACAACTTCTGTTAATCACCAGCCCTAATGACTCTTCTCCTAAATTTCAAGTCCTACCACACTTGGACTGTTTTGCTCAGCAGCAGTTCAGATAAATCTGCATCAAATGTTAGTTCTGCTTCACAAACCATAAATACTGTATTTAACAGAACTTTCTGACAAGGTGTAAGAGAGTAAACACAGGCAAATTATTCCCTTTGGCTTTCTGCTTCTGCTCCCATGACTTCCAGCTGGTAATCCCTTAATAATCCAATATTGATATAATAATCCAAGAGCTGAAATCCTGAAGGGCATTTTGCAGCAACAGCTCCTGAGTATCTGGGTTTTAGCCATTAAAACAAGAGCAGGGAAAAAAAAGGCTTGTGAGTTTACAACTGTGGAAACCTCCCTCGTGGATCCCCTGATGGGGAGACCCCGAAAAAGTTCTGTGCCAGGATTGAGAGATGGATGGGACTTTTGGTTTTTTCAGTCTTCAGGTTGTCGTTTATTTTTCTCTTATCAGAAGTTCAGCACCATCTACATCTCAGACTTAGTGTACAAAAAGAAGGCACCAAAGAGGCACAAGACAGAGGTTCAAGGTCTCTTAAAACTATTTTGTCCACTTAACTCTTAGAATGTATTTTCTTTCTACCTGTCTACTACGAAAGGTAGAAATGTGTTCCAGCATCAACCTTCATTTTCAATACATAAAAATGAACCTTCAACCAACACCCCTGGGCTCCAACATCAACCTGAATTTTCAGTACAAGAAAGACAAGAGAGCAAAGTGCCCAGCTGGCAGCTGGGAGGGCTGCCCAGGGGAGCTCACCGAGGATGTCCCTGGCAGCATCAGCATGGCCTGGGAACAGCGGCGCGTTCTTCATGTCCGTGGGGAAGGACAGCTCCGGCAGGTTGTCCCCTCTGTGCAGGCTGAAGGGGTCTGGCAGAGACACAAGCAGGCAGGGTCACCACTCAGGGTGGCAGGGTCACCACTCAGGGGACAGGGACCACCATTGGAACAAGAGGATGGAGATGCAGCAGGTCCCAACGCTGCACTTCCAAGGAAAAGCTGCTTTTGGGATTGTACACCAGGAGAAACCCCGCTCCCACTCTCAGGAAAATAATTTGTGCAGCACCCAGGAAAACTCTGGAATCCCAGGAGAAGTGGCAAAGCTGGGCAGGGTTGTGCTAAAAACCCTCCCAGTCTCACCCCCAGCTCCAGAAACACTTCCTACCCATCACCAGGGTGAAACTCTTCACAGAAATAAAGATTCCATTATGGGTCCAGTTTTGTAATGCACACAAATTCCCAATGGGATAATGCTCCAGTGGAGCTTCAAAGATTTATCTATCCCTTTCCCAATCAGAATTTACACCCTACAGTAACACCCAGTTGCTCAGGCTGATTTTTGGGGCAAATGGATCATGATTGTTCCTGGAGAAACTGTGCCTTCCTCTCCAGGAGGAACCCTCTGCCTCTGCCCTGATGGACACAGCCCATGAATCTGAGTCAGGATCAAGGGCTGGGCTGGGCTGGGCTGGGCTCAGCTCAGCCCAGGGCAGGGAAAGGTGTGGGATCTCTGAGCTCTCCAAGCCAGGAACTGCATCCCAGTATGAACTGGGGTGATGGACTGGTATTTTAAGCAAGTTACTGGGAAATTGAAACATCCCCCAGTGTCCCAGGCAGACTGCCCTATCCCTGGAAGTGTCCCAGGCTGGACAGGGCTTGGAGCAGCCTGGCACAGACAGTGAAAGGTGTCCCTGCCATGGCAGGGGTGGCACTGGATGAGCTTTAAGGTCCCTGTCACCCCTGCCCTGTGGCAGTGGGAGCCATTCCCTGTGTCCTGTCCCTCCATCCTTGTCCCCAGTCCCTCTGCAGCTCTCCTGGAGCCCCTTCAGGCCCTGAAAGGGGCTTTGAGCTCTCCCTTTCTCCTCTCCAGGGGAGCACCCTATCTCCAGACACTCAGATTTCCTCCAGTTAAACCCAGCTCAGGGGGATTTGGTTGAGGGCTGTGGCTCATTTTCATGCCAGAAGTGCTCCCTGCAGGGCTGAGAGCCCAGCCTGAGCTGTTCCCATGCCCACGGTGGGCTGGGATGTCAAGATCAGGTGAGCTGAGTGAATTCCTTTAGAAACCTGTCAGATTATTTGAGATGCCAAGACAACATCTTGCCTCGGAGCAACGTGCAGAATATTTTGATTTTGAGCTGTTTACAACAGTATTGCCAGGTCTGAACAACTGCCTTCTTTCCAATTAAAAAACCAACCCCAAAAAACAAGGAAAAAAAAAGAGCATGACTGAAACCAATTTAAAACTAGAAGAGATCCTGTTGATGTTCCCTCTTTGCCCAGCAGTTGGATGATGTGGAAAAAATGGGCAGCTCAGATCTCTGAGCCAACCCATCTCTGCTCCAGAGGGAAAAGGGGAGGAGAAGTTGAGCTGAAATTTCCCCTTTTTCCCCCAGGGAACAAGGAATTACAGGGATGCTGGTCAGGAGATCCTCTACACCATTGGCCAGAGAATCCTCTCCTTGGGAGGGAAACTGTCCTCCCATTTTCCAAAGAGTGGGCACACAAATATTGAATAAACCAAATGATTTCTCTGAGTCTGATCTCTGCTCCATTATGGGAGCTCTAAGGAGAATCTCATTTATATCCAGTTGGAAGAGCAACACAGGGGACACTTTGATCCTGAACTTTATGTGGTGCCTGTACAGGTGTGCAAGATACTCCAAGGACATGAAACCCAAAGAAATGTGGTTTCATGCAACAAATAAACTCAAATATTCATATTATTCAGGCCAAAAGAACACTGGGTGATGGGCCAGGTACGTAAATTGTTCCTAATGAACAAATTTGACATCTGGCTCTTGAGCAGAATGACACCAATGTTCCATTCCTGCACCCACACAGCAACAGGAGGGAAAACCCAAGAAACCTGTGGCTCTTCCAGTTCTTCCATGCATCACTTCTTATCCTTGTAAAAATACATCAGTTCTTCACATTCAGTAAGAAAATCATGTCCTAAGCAGGCCTACAGTACTCAAAAATATATTGAAAAAAAAGAAATTTCATCCTGTATCTTTCCAGGCTGATTGCCTGGGCTAATCTGGGCAGGACCCACATTTCTCAGGTGCTCCTGGAGCCAGCAAGCAATTTAAATTCTAAGAATGAGGGGGAAAAAGGAGAATATTGAGGGGAAGCTGCTGGGTGAAAGTGTATCTGTGTGCAGGGCTGGGTTGCACAAGGTGCAGCTCGTGTTCAGCAGCTGCAGAGGTGTGGGACAGCCCCAGCTGCAGGGCACGATGTGACACAGGGACAGGCACTGCCTGGGGACACGGCAGGTCAGAGGGACACATCTGGGGAGGTCTGCACTGAAACCCACTGTGCTCACAGCAGCTCAGCTGTGGGAGTCCCCCAAAACCTGCTCTGGGCATAGAATCCCAGAATTATTAGGGTTGGAAAAGAGTTCCAAGACAACCAACTGCAACTTTTGACCAAATACCCCCAAAACACATCACAAAATTCTGTATTTCCTTGGGCTTTGAACAATTCCGGGGATGGGGACTCAGCACTGCCCTGGGCAGCCCCTGCCAACACTGAACCACGCTCGAGTGAAGGAATTTTCCAAATTTCCACCCTGAGCTGCCCTGGCCCAGCCTGAGGCTGTTCCCTCTGCTCCTGTCCCTGTTCCTGGAGCACAGCCCGACCCCCCCGGCTGTCCCCTCCTGGCAGGAGCTGTGCAGAGCCACAGGGTCCCCCCTGAGCCCCCTTTTCTCCAGGCTGAGCCCCTTCCCAGCTCCCTGAGCCCCTCCTGGGGCTCCATTCCCTTCCCAGCTCCATTCCCTGGACACTCCAGCCCCTCCAGGGCTCTCCTGCTGGGAGGGCCCAGAGGATCCCAGGGGGGCCCTGAGCAGGGCCAGCACAGGGGACAGTCCCTGCCCTGGCTGTGCCCAGCTGGGCACCCCTGGGCTCGTGTCCAGCCGCTGTCACCAGCCCCTGTGCCCAGCATGGAGGTTCCATGTGGTGACGGTGCCCTGAGGGCAGGACATGGCCCTTGGACCATGGATCCAGCCTGTGCTGATCCCCCTGGAGCCTCCCTGCCCTGCAGCACAGCCACATCCCACCCACCATGCTGGCCATGACCACGGAGGGGTCACCCCACGCCCCCATCCCCAATGCCAGGGGGGATCCCCTGAGCAGGGCTGGGCCCAAAACCAAAAACCAACCCCCAGGGAGTCCGGGGGCTGCCGAAGGCCATGAGGGGAGCAGGAGCCCCTCAGGGACGGAGCCTGCACTCTATGAGGGGAGCAGGAGCAACTCAGGGATGCCATGAGGGGAGCAGGAGCCCCTCAGGGACGGAGCCTGCACTCTATGAGGGGAGCAGGAGCAACTCAGGGATGCCATGAGAGGAGCAGGAGCTCCCTCAGGGATGCCATGAGGGGAGCAGGGGCCCCTCAGGGATGCCATGAGGGGAGCAGGAGCCCCTCAGGGATGCCATGAGGGGAGCAGGATATTATTCAGGCCAAAAGAACACTGGGTGATGGGCCAGGTACGTAAATTGTTCCTAATGAACAAATTTGACATCTGGCTCTTGAGCAGAATGACACCAATGTTCCATTCCTGCACCCACACAGCAACAGGAGGGAAAACCCAAGAAACCTGTGGCTCTTCCAGTTCTTCCATGCATCACTTCTTATCCTTGTAAAAATACATCAGTTCTTCACATTCAGTAAGAAAATCATGTCCTAAGCAGGCCTACAGTACTCAAAAATATATTGAAAAAAAAGAAATTTCATCCTGTATCTTTCCAGGCTGATTGCCTGGGCTAATCTGGGTAGGACCCACATTTCTCAGGTGCTCCTGGAGCCAGCAAGCAATTTAAATTCTAAGAATGAGGGGGAAAAAGGAGAATATTGAGGGGAAGCTGCTGGGTGAAAGTGTATCTGTGTGCAGGGCTGGGTTGCACAAGGTGCAGCTCGTGTTCAGCAGCTGCAGAGGTGTGGGACAGCCCCAGCTGCAGGGCACGATGTGACACAGGGACAGGCACTGCCTGGGGACACGGCAGGTCAGAGGGACACATCTGGGGAGGTCTGCACTGAAACCCACTGTGCTCACAGCAGCTCAGCTGTGGGAGTCCCCCAAAACCTGCTCTGGGCATAGAATCCCAGAATTATTAGGGTTGGAAAAGAGTTCCAAGACAACCAACTGCAACTTTTGACCAAATACCTCCAAAACACATCACAAAATTCTGTATTTCCTTGGGCTTTGAACAATTCCGGGGATGGGGACTCAGCACTGCCCTGGGCAGCCCCTGCCAACACTGAACCACGCTCGAGTGAAGGAATTTTCCAAATTTCCACCCTGAGCTGCCCTGGCCCAGCCTGAGGCTGTTCCCTCTGCTCCTGTCCCTGTTCCTGGAGCACAGCCCGACCCCCCCGGCTGTCCCCTCCTGGCAGGAGCTGTGCAGAGCCACAGGGTCCCCCCTGAGCCCCCTTTTCTCCAGGCTGAGCCCCTTCCCAGCTCCCTGAGCCCCTCCTGGGGCTCCATTCCCTTCCCAGCTCCATTCCCTGGACACTCCAGCCCCTCCAGGGCTCTCCTGCTGGGAGGGCCCAGAGGATCCCAGGGGGTCCCTGAGCAGGGCCAGCACAGGGGACAGTCCCTGCCCTGGCTGTGCCCAGCTGGGCACCCCTGGGCTCGTGTCCAGCCGCTGTCACCAGCCCCTGTGCCCAGCATGGAGGTTCCATGTGGTGACGGTGCCCTGAGGGCAGGACATGGCCCTTGGACCATGGATCCAGCCTGTGCTGATCCCCCTGGAGCCTCCCTGCCCTGCAGCACAGCCACATCCCACCCACCATGCTGGCCATGACCACGGAGGGGTCACCCCACGCCCCCATCCCCAATGCCAGGGGGGATCCCCTGAGCAGGGCTGGGCCCAAAACCAAAAACCAACCCCCAGGGAGTCCGGGGGCTGCCGAAGGCCATGAGGGGAGCAGGAGCCCCTCAGGGACGGAGCCTGCACTCTATGAGGGGAGCAGGAGCAACTCAGGGATGCCATGAGAGGAGCAGGAGCTCCCTCAGGGATGCCATGAGGGGAGCATGAGCTCCCTCAGAGATGCCATGAGGGGAGCAGGGGCCCCTCAGGGATTCCATGAGAGGAGCAGGAGCTCCCTCAGGGATGCCATGAGGGGAGCATGAGCTCCCTCAGGGATGCCATGAGGGGAGCAGGGGCCCCTCAGGGATGCCATGAGGGGAGCAGGAGCCCCTCAGGGTTGGAGCCTGAAGCCCATGAGGGGAGCAGGGGCACCTCAGGGATGCCATGAGGGGAGCAGGAGCCCCTCAGGGATGGAGCCTGAAGTCCATGAGGGGAGCAGGAGCCCCGCAGGGATGGAGCCTGCACTCCACGAGGGGAGCAGGAGCCCCGCAGGGATGGAGCCTGAAGTCCATGAGGGGAGCAGGGCCCCCTCAGGGATTCCATGAGGGGAGCAGGAGCCCCTCAGGGATGGAGCCTGCACTCCACGAGGGGAACAGAAGCCCCAAGGCATGGAGCCTGCACTCCATGAGGTCCCCCAGCTGCTCAATCAGGGTGCTCCAGCTCCTGAGCCATCCTACCAGCCACGTCCATGGGTTTGAAGCACAGGTCCCTCTCCTCTGCTGACCAGGAGTCGTTGCGATCCAGGAACTCTTTGTAGGACATCTTCTCATCCATGATTTCTCCTGGGAATACTGACATGGGAGAAGAAAATGACCCAGTCAAAAGCCAAACATTGAAATATTTAAAATGTGTCACTGCACCATGTGACATTTGGGTGTGACATCCCCAGGTAATAGGGACTGGCAGCCAAACCAGAGCCCATAATTATCCATTTTTGACTGGTTTGATTCAGCTCTTCAAATACAAAACACAGAAAAATGGGGATTTCTGTGTCCTAAGGTACATGTAAGATCAAGAACAGACTCACATGGAAGTGCTGTCCTGGTCCAGAGCCTCCACTTGTACAAAAGGAACAAAACCCTAAGTCCTGAGGCTTTAAACAGGACAAACTCAGTGGAAAGGTTCAAAATTAACACCCAGACTAATGAATTTTAGCTTTATTTCTGTTTTAAGGAGGCATGAATTTGTCAGCTCTTCTGAGGACAACATTATAGTTTTAAACTGGTCCCAGTTTCTTTTGGAAAGAAACAGAAAATATTTATAGTGAATCCTTCTCTCATCCCCCATACAACACTCTCTGCTCTGTGCCAATACATCTCTTTAAGCTTTTAATATTTTTACCTTCACTTAGGCTGACAATACCTGCAAGCCTGGAGCTCAGGAGATGAAATTCATGACAAAATATCACTGGATATAACCCTTAATTCAGTGCAAAACTGCAGTTACTAAAAACAACCCAATGTAAAGGCACAGAAGGACCAGAAGGGAAGAATTTATTAAAAACATGACCCTGGTCTGTAAAACCAACAACCTGGAGGTGTCAGGTGGGCTGAGAGCTCACAGCAAGGTGGGCAGAGATTCAGCTCTAATAATAATGATTATGATAATAATAATAAAGTTATTGAGAGAGAATAAGATGAAAAATGGCTTTTGTGGGGCTTGGAGTTTGTTTTACATCATAAAACAAGGAAAGGTCACCAGTACAAATCATGAGGTGGGTTCAACAATTTGCTCAGAGTTTGGGTTTAGAGGAGCAGGAGGGGATTCCTTGGAGTTTGAAACATGTCCAAATCTCTGATTTGGGTAAATATTAAATATTACTTATAATTAAAAATAAAATTAAGAATATAAACATTTAATGATTATTCAAACAATAAATTAATAATAATTCAAACAATAATTAAAATAATAATACATTATATAATAATACATTAGATAATTTATGTTATATATATTATAAATAAATGTAATATATAAATATATCATACATTATATAGCATATACATTATATATATTGACTATATTATATATACATTATATGTACTGTATAATATATTTTATATGTTTTCATGCACATTATACCACATATTATAATATATAATTTATCATGTATAGTTTATATATTTTCATGTGGTTTATATACATTATATTATATAATGTTTGTTATATAATATTTATATATTTATAAATATATGTAAATTATGTATTATACATTACTCTCTATATATTTTTATTTATATACACACACAGACACACAGACACACATACATATATATAAATATAAATGCATATGTGTAATGGCTAATACAATTAATGTAAATATTACTTCCAGTCAGGCTCTGGAGCTCCAAGTGCTGCCGTGTCCCCAGGGTGTGGCCTGGGCTGTGTGACACTCACTGTGTGTGGGACACTGTGTGAGTGACTCTGTGTGTGACACTGTGTTTGTCACACAGAGTGTGACACTGTGTGTGACACTGTGTGAGTGACTCTGTGTGTGACACTCACCATGTGTGACACTGTGTGTGTGACACTTGCTCTGTATGTGACACTCCCTGTGTGTGACACTGTGTGTGTGTGACATGTGAGCTCAGGGATGTGTGACACTCACTGTGTGTGGGACACTGTGTGAGTGACTCTGTGTGTGACACTCACCATGTGTGACACTGTGTGTGTGACACTTGCTCTGTATGTGACACTCCCTGTGTGTGGGACACTGTGTGAGTGACTCTGTGTGTGACACTCACCATGTGTGACACTCACTTTGTGACACCGTGTGTGTGTGACACTCCCCATGTGTGACACTGTGTGTGTGACACGTGCTCTGTATGTGACACTCCCTGTGTGTGACACTGTGTGTGTGTGACACTGTGTGACACTCCCTGTGTGTGACACTTGCTGTGTGTGTGACACTCCCCATGTGTGACACTCCCCGTGTGTGACACTCCCCGGTGTGTCCCCTTTGTGTCCCCATTCCCAGCTGACCCCGGGCCAGGCAGGAGCTTCCCGAGGTTCAGGTCCCTCTGAGGGTCACATGGAGGGAAGGCCACATGCTCAGGGACACCGCGGTGCTGGCACCGTGTCCCCAGTGCCACCCTGGGCGGGAGCAGGACACGAGCTCTGCCTGTCCCTGTGCCAACATTCCCACCTGGGTGTCCCAGAGCAGCACCCACCCAGCCCCAGCAGGAGCTGCCAGGGCCAGAACAGCTCCTAGAGAGATGCTGCTCCAAGGAAACAAATAAAATGGAATTTTTACACTTACACACGCTGGGAAACACAAATAAAATGGATTTTTTACATTTACACACCCTGGGAAAGCAAGACTGGGAATGAAAGGGGAATTCCAGGGATCACAACAATCCCACCCCTTGTCTCCAGGAGAACAGGACCCAGAGCAGCCCTGCACTGATCCCACCCATCCCATCCATCCTGAGCAGCCCTGTCCTGATCCATCCATCCCTGCAGCCCTGCCTTAATGCCATCCACCCATTCCTGCAGCCCTGCCCTAATCCCATCCATCCCTGCAGCCCTGCCCTGATCCATCCATCCATCCATCCATCCATCCATCCATCCATCCATCCATCCATCCATCCATCCCTGCAGCCCTGCCCTGACCCATCCGTCCCTGGGCACCCCTGGAGCTGCTGCCCCTCCTGTGCAGCCCCCAGCAGCAGGGCTTGGCACGGGCACGCTGGTTTTGTGCCAGGGCTCAGCTTTGATTCTGCCCAGTCTCCATCTGCCAGGGCTGCTTTCAGCAGGGGCACTCAGCAGCTCCCAGGCAGGGTGACACCACCTCTGCCTGCCCCTGACAAAGCACAGGGGACACGGGGGACAACAACCCCTGTGTGTCCCGTGGAAAATCCAGCCTGGGCAACCCTGTCTGAGCCTGGAGCAGCTAAAAGCCTGATCATTCCAGGAGAAAATATTTTATTAATATTGTATTTGATAGTATAAGGTAATTCTGGTACTATTTCATTTAGCTTTGCAAAGTGCTTTGGAGATAAAGTGCCACTGCAACATGTCAAGAGACATTATTATTATTTACCATTATTTGTAGTACAGAACAGCAAGGGATTTAATTAGATTCCATTGTAAATTCCTCTAGACAGGAGCCTGTCATTCGTGTGTCTATAAAACTATTTAAAGAAAAAAAAAATAGAAGACACTAAAAGTCCTTGACAGTGTGAGGAAGAGCCTGGGAGCAGTTAAAGCATTCAAGAACTTCCTCAAAGACGATTTTATGATATTATGACATTAACAGAGTGCTGGCTTGGACCCACACTGAGGCTGATGGAGAGCACCCACTGCTTGAACTCTGAATATTTGAAACAAATCTATTTGTTAGCACTAAAAATATATTGGCACATTGCCACAATGAAAGATTTCACAGGGAAGAACATAAAATTAGGGTCAGAAAGGTAAACCTGAAGAAACCTCTCCACTTTGGGGGGTGGTTTCAGTACCAGGTTGTGTTCATGCCTTTCAATGCAGAGGGGCTGGAGAAGGAGGGAGCAGCAGGAGACAAAAGGAATTGGGATGGGAAATATTTCCATTTGCCATCAGATGAAACCAAGTTGAGCAAAACTCAGTCAGTGTTTGCCAGCCCTGAGCTGCAGCAAAGCCCCAGAGCTGGCTGCAAGCTGCATCAGGAGCAGTTGGGAGCTGCCTCTGCCAAATCCTTCCAAATCCAAACCCAAGACTGGAATATTCTGCACACAATATTTTCACAACAGATGCAAATTAAAAACCCAAAGCAGGCAGTGCTTCCCAGCAGGAATCCCGGTGCAAGGGGGGATGCAGGCAGCTCTGGAGCAGGGAGAGCAGAGCAGGGCCAGCCACAGGGACCAGCCTGGAGCAGCCACCCCTTCCCTGGGCCAGCCAGGACCCAGCTGCCCCTGCAGAGCCAGGACAGCAAAGATTTCTGGAGCACAGTCAGCACCAGCAAACCCCCTCTGCTATTCCCACAATGTTTCCCAAGTTATATGCCATGAAGTGGACACTTCCAGCTTATTCATCATCCCCACCCCATCCCAATATTCAGCTTCCCCTTATCAAACCTGGAACACAAAATGTGATCTCACATTTCCCAAGGACTGGGAAAAGAGGATTTTTCAGTTCCAAACCCAAGCTCCCCAAACACACCTTCTGCCTCTGACCTACCAACAAAAGACACAAAACAACACAAAGGAGAAGCCAAACTCTTCCAGGGCCCAGTGCCCGTGGATGTGCACGGCAGATAATGCACTCCACACAAAATGCAAATCTGACAGATCCCACAGACCTGTAAAGCAATTTTAGCAAGTATTAAAGCTGGCTGATGGCTGAAAATCCGGTTACGAGCCCTGATAATATAAACCAATGTAGGATTAGAGCTTACAAAGACTTGCTTAAAGGAAAAAAGACCATTAACAACATACTTACAAAGCAAACTTGCTTCTGAAAGGAAAAACAAGGATCCCATGCAAGCAGCACCTTCCGTGCACTGCTCCCAGGGCAGGATGAGGGTGGAACATTTAGCAGGGCTGCTGACAGCGTGGAATTGTTTGTTTGATCATCTCTCTGCACAGCTCAGCTCGGTCACAGCACCCAATTCACAGCTAACCCAGCCAAAAGTGCCCCTGTGGCCACCTACCCCTGTGCCCGGGCTGGGAGCTGGGGCAGGACACGCTCCTGGAGCTGCTGGCACACAGGACACCCCAGGGAATGTCCAGCCAGGGGCTCTCGGAGCACAGGATTACCCTCTAAAGCCTTTTCCCTGCAGGAGATGCTAATCTTGGCAGGTCACAGGCCAGAC